TACCGTCCGATTACTACTCTCTCTCTTCTCTCTCTCTCTCTCTCTCTCTCTCTCTCTCTCTCTCTCTCTCTCTGGCTCTCTTTTTCCTAGAAAATTTTCCTAAAGCTAGGTAGAATATGACAAATGCAAGTAAAAACAATACTGCTCATCAGTTCAACACTCGAAAATATCTTTATAATAGTATTACGCACGCTATCTCTAAATTCGACATGAACACACTCGAACACATCATCTCACTTATATCGGATCGACATGAAATCTACAATCATCGAGACTATTGTACATTATAGTATACTGCAATCAGATCTCATTTTGCAAGGAATAAGCGTCACATATATGTATGTATAATAATACGACCTATGACAATCTTGTCGGATAAATCTTTCTCTTAACTTACTGTACGCGACAAGCAGGGAAATATCGATTAGTTCCCATAATGTTATACTGATTAATACATAATGTAATATGTAAATATATATAATGCAATGTGCGATAATACATATTACACAATGTATTTGATTATATAAAGAATCGCGTAACAATATACAAGTTTACGTGTCCCAGGTTTGACTCAACCCTTCCACGTACCGATATAACTTTTGCATTTCGGACAGAAATGATGGACACTCATGAAGTTGCTCATACAATACGGTAAGCATGAGCAAAGGCAACATCTGAAATTTGAAAGAACATCGGTCAAAATTATTTTTTTTTTTTTTTTTTTACGCTCTAATAGAAAACCACATACACCAAGACAGAACGAGAACATATTTGGAAAAAAACCGTGCACTTGAAAGCTAAGAGAAATGCCATATTATAAGTAAAGAGGACCCATATATAAATATTTTAGTGTTTCCAAAGTGAATAACTAGAGATCCGTGCGTTATTTCCGTTAAAGCGATACTAATAAATCTGAAGTCGGAATAAACAAAACCAAGGCCAGTAGTAAGTCAATTAAAAAACAATCAGGCATGTATTCTAATATATAAAACTCGTGTTATAAATTATTACAAATATTCTTAATATTTCCTATTCCTATTTTTTAAAAAGAAAATTATATTTGTATTGAACAATTACAAGAAAAACACAAAGAAAATGTTGAACAAAAGATAAATTAAAAATAAAATAAGCAGCAAAAGCTATTAATTTTTATAGCATAAGCAATGCAGCAAATATTTAAAAAATTAATATACACTCACCCAAATAAGCAGAGCAAGATACAGCATAGATGAGCACAACGCTGATGATCCGACATTGTGGAAGTTTTAATACTAGCATGACAAGTGGGACACGTTGTTTTTGTTGGATTTGGACTCAGAGAATAAATCATTGGCTGATAGACAACTCGGACTTCCGGTTGAGGCACCGCATTCGGATTTGCATTATATTGTGTTTGTGGCTGTGGCATAGATTCGCTGGGCCCAGAATAATTCGGTGGATATGGCACCGTCGTCTGATTCGATGGAATTATCTGAGGAGCGTTATCTGAAATTCCAATTAATCTATTCGTTCAATTGTGTATCATTAAAAATTATTATTATATATATATATATATATATATATTTATATATTGATTTATAATATAAAAATAAAATAACACGTACGAGGCATAGAAGATGGCATTGGCATAGAAGATGGTCCCACTGGATATGGAATTGCTACTGGAATGTTTGGTTGCCGAGATACACGAGCTGCATTTTCAACAGCCTCCTCATAAGAAGGAGGTGCCGAAGGTGGAGGAGCCGAGGGTTGAGTACTTCCACTAGCGAACGCCATATTTTTTTCCATTTCTTCTAAAATAATATTTAAATATAATTTTAAATATCTTAAGAAAAATAAATATCTTATACATGTACTATCAATCGCATACCGGATAAATCTAGCTTTAATTTAATAATATAAATAAGTTGAATTAAAAATTATGGATGCTATCACGTTTGAACATAAACAAAGATAGACAAATGAGCGCGAAAGCGCGTATATGCGAATAGAAAGTTGAACGGATATTAAGTAATAGAGATAATGCAAAGTATGTTGGTGTATAGAACCGTTTCTAGAAAATTTAGAACCCATCATACTTACATTCTTTGTTCCATCAGATATTACGTTATGGTCTTGCTTCAAACTTGGATTATATTATTCAAACGTAATTCGAATAACCACTTAACCTCGATTCAATGTGAAATTGAACGAGTAAATTGTAAGAATATAAAAATTATTACGTTTGATACATAAATTATTAAATATGTAAATTACAAAGATCTTTAGTTTAAATCAGTAATTTTCAATATTTTTTATCTCATATAATAAAAACGTATAAATTAATTGCTAAAATTCTATGACATATAAAAAAATACATTAAATTCTTTAAAATATATATTTTTGATTAATTTCCAAAGAAAAATATTTTTTTTTCCTCTCCAAAATTATGATAAAATATTAAAAAATTTGAAAATAATAATATTTATTACTTTTTTTCAATTTATATATAAAAATCTTGAGCACACTTATGAATTTCTCGTGGTACATTAATATACCATACCAATTGAAAGTTACTGATATAAATAAAAGATCTTTCAAACGCAAATATATGACACTAACGATAAAAGAATGTACATATCAAAGTCTACGACTTAAAGCAAATTTAAATTATTAGTCATAACAATATTCAGAAAAATATAATATATAAATTAAAAACTTTATGAAATATAAAAAAAATTCATAATTTATTTCAATAAATATTAAATTCATAATAATTTTTTGTCAAATAATGTATACGTAACATGATTATATAAGCATTTAATTAGTAAAAACACGAGAAATGAATATTGGTTTTTTTAATTTAAATGCGTTGAATGTATATGACGTAAACGTTTAATGCATCGATGTAACTCTTTTTAGAATTTTAATAAAACTATTTCAATTAAGATTATAATATATTCTAACCTACATAATCATCCTACCCCATAACCAAAAAAGAATAAATTATTTACAAAGAAAAATAAGAAAAGATAATATTCTTACTAAATTGATTTCTCAAGATTTCGAAGTCACGTAGTCGCTACTTGTGAAGAGGAGGTTAGTTATAGTTGAACACTCCGAATTAGTAATGACTTGTATGCACCATAGAAGTATTGATATACATATCGTACTACTAGATAATTAATTATTTCGTAACATTATATAACATTTTTCACGTATTTATAAAAAAAATTAAGAAAACTACACAAAACTTGGCAAAAACTGTCACATTAACATAACTGAAGCGACAGACAAGAGTCTGTTGTAATTTTTACCAATGACCAATCAGAGCATTGGTATTATTCCAGAAATGAAATTCAGGAAAATGGCGCGGAATATTTTAAATAATATCATAATGCAAATAATTATTATTAAAATAAAATCAATTGATAAAAATTTTATTATTTATATAAAATTTTTATTATTTTTATAAATCAAAAAATTTTTTGTATATATATAAAATATACAAATATTAATAAAATATTAAAACATTATTTGATTCATTTTGATTCGTAGTATCGTGTAAACTTTTGCCGCGTTTGGATGATAGTATGGTTCGATTTTTAAATAAAAAAGTGCAATATATTTATCAAGAGATAATATTGATAGTGTCTAGAAAAGAAGTCAGGTCTTAACTCAAATTATTGTTTTTGTAAGTAAAAATATAAATTTAATTAATATAATAATTTTTAAATATTTCAAACTCGATGTTATTGAATTTTATTGGCAGAATTGCCAATAGACGAGTGATTCAAAAAAATTGTTGACTCTTTTAACAATATTTTAAGTATATTTTACATGTTTATTATCATATATTTATATTATATTGCATTTTTATATTAGTTATCTATAATCTGAAAATTTAATTTAATTACGAAATTAACTTTTGAGGAATTTTTTTTGGATTCATTTCATAAATCTTTTATTGTAATAATTTGTTGTATTTTATGTAATTCCATACAATTTATATTTTACATATTTCACATGATGAATTTCAATATAAATAATATAGACAAATTTATAATATTTTAAATATATTTCTTTCTTTTTTATATTAATTATAAGTTGGTAACAGTTTCTGCCAGATATTTCTGTTACTTATTTAATACAGAAGTTTATAAAACATTCTATCAAATGCGTTTGAAATTATATAATTGAATTTTGTATATTACTTACTAAAATATACGAAAATGTAGCAGTATATATAATAGTGAAGATTTAAATATAAGATTGGAACACAAAAAGTTCCTTATAGGTTAGAAATCATGAAAATAAGTTTGAATCTTATGTTTCAAATGCTAAAAGAATAGTATTTTAAAACAAAATGAGATCATTAAAAGATATTCGTTAAATATTTATATTATATATATAAATGAATAAAGCCATATTTATTATATTAAATTGTATAATATAATATTTTCAAAATGATGCATTATACACCTTGGATCCACCATCAAACAATGCTGGACAATCATCAATGTTATACACCGTATATAAATACTGTACCATCTTACACGCATAATAATCATGAGCAACAACATATTACAGAAGAAGAGAGTGAACAAACAGGAGATGAAACACATGATACAATGACTTCTGCTACATCAGGAGAGCGTAGTTCTAGTGCTGATATATTTAGATTAGAATTTGCAGCAGCCCAATGGTCAAAATTAGTTTCAAATGCAGAAGGTCTTTTTACTAAGCTTATGACAAGTAATATTTTACCTCATACGGAACAAGATCAAATTGAACAATGGCTTTGTATGAAACAAGAATATGAAGAATGTATTGCTAGTGATGATACTGGTAGTTTACAAGGTTATACAGAAAATGCAAGAAGATCATTAGAAAGAATAGAAGAAGTAACTGAAACTGATGAAAAAACAGATGAATCTATACATCAAATGGAAAGAAAAATTAAAATAAATTGTTCATCTAGTTCAGAAAGTGAATTATCTGAAACTAACGATGATGATGAAGAAGAAGAAGAAGAAGAAGAAGAAGATCATAGTGATGTTAGTTCAGAAAATCCAGATTTCTTAGAAAAATTAGACGAATGTATGAATAAACTTAAAATAGAAACGGATAGAATAGTTGATTCTACAAGGGACGAATTTAGAGAAACAAATATAGAGATTATTCCAACTGTGGCAAGATCTATAAATACTAATAATAATGTTCTTGTAACTAGAGCTGTTCCACTTAGAAATCCAAATTCCAGGAGGAATTCAATGCTTCCTGGTTCTGAAATGTGTAATGAAGTATTAGCCTTCAATGATAGCCTTAAACCTAACCAAAATCAAATTTTAGATAATAAAACTTCAGCATTTACTAGTATAAGAATATTAGACAATTGTGAATCTGAAACAATTATTAATGAAAATCATACGACTCATAATGATAATTCACCAGATTTATTAATTGATGCTTTGAAAACAACAGAAATGCCAGAGCCCATTAAGGAATTGAAAACATTGACATTAAATAACGAAGCAAAACAAACTCAAGTAAAAAAAATTCAATCAGATTTAGATGGAGCTCATAAACGTATAGAAGAGCTACAAACTACTATTAAAATCAAAGAAAAATTCATTGCAGATATGATAAAAAATTCAGATGCACGTGCTAGCGCAAAACAAAAATTTCAACGCAAATGGAGTAAATTGGAAGAAGAATATTATAATACAAGAAGCCAATTGGCTCAAGCTGAAAATGCTTCTATCTACAAAGATTCAGAAGAAAAGTCTGCCCATAAGAAGGAGATTGAATTATATAAAAACATGGCTATTCATTATGAAAAGAGATTGATGGATATTGAAATGATAAAACAAATTGCAGGTGATTCTGCTAAAAAGGTATTAGAACTTGAAAGTTCCTTAAATACATCTAGAAAACAAATGGAAAAATTAAAGAAACAGTTGAAAAAAGAGGAGGAACGTAAGAAACAATTAGAAGAAGAATTAGCAGAGGATCAGAAAAAAATTCGTGATCTCGAAGAAAAATATAACTTAACAGCTTCCAAGTTGAAGGAGATGCAATCGGAAAGCGAGGATGAGAAAAATAATAGTAAATCTAAAACCGATTATTCTGATAAAAAAAGAATTTATTAGACGTTAGTGCGAGAATATCGCATCTTGATCATGTTTTAAAAGAAAAATCAATGGATTTGGAAAGAACGGCTGATATAGACGAAAAAGAAGCTTTGCGTCACGAAATTCGAAATCTACGACGTACTCGTGATTGTCTAGTGGACGAAAAATGCGATCTAGATGAAAAATTTCAAAAAGAAAAGACGCTATCCACTGTAGAAGAGAGGAAATTATTGGAATGCGGAGAAACCATCGAAGCGATCGATGCTATGATCGAGCATAAGAATGAAATGATTTGTGGGCGGAAGGGATTCGATGAAAATCAATCACAGCGTGAAAAAGGGGAAAGAATGTTAATGGAAAGATTGGCGAAACTTTCAGATGGTGAAATGAGAACTTTATTCTATAAATATTTTCTAAAGGTAATTGATTTAAAGGAGAGTTCAAAAAATCTAGAAGTTCAAACAGCTGAATTGGAAAGTCATATAGAAACTCAGGAATGGCAGATTCAAACGTTGACAAATGCTTTAAAACAAACTAAATTGGAAGCAGAGAGGCGAATAGTTTTGATGCAAAGAGAACACGAGGAAAAATTACATCTCATGTTTAGACATTTTGCAGAAGAAACTAGTAGTTCTGGTCATGAAAGACTGGACAAAGATTCCGAACTTGCGAAATATAAACGTGAAAATAGAACGTTGAGGAAACGATTAGCAGACGTTGAAGCTCTTTTGAAAGGTCCAACACCACCACGTACAGCTAGTCCAGCAAAAATATCACAGCAAGGATTGAAACAAATTCCACCATGTAATCGACCAACAACCAAAGTAACTAGGCAGCGAAATAAATTGATAATACAAAAAACTACTGACTGCGATAAGAAAAAAAAATGAACTTCTTTGAGAAGTTTATTATACTTTATGTTTCTTTTCTGTTAACATTTCTTTTTTACTCTATTTTTTTATCTTTTGTACAGTGTCTAGCAATTACATTACTAATTTGATAGTACGTACAAGAACGCTATCATTTTTTTTAAACATACATTTTATATTAAGTATCCAGAAAAGTTTTTATCGTTTTCTAATTGAAAAATTAAAGAAATATCGATAAAAATTTTTCTGAACATCTGATATTATTTAAAAATACATTCAATAGATTCTTTCTCATTATCGCAAATATTCAATTTCAGGTTTTCAGAAAACAAATCCTCCAAGTATAATTTGCAATAAAGATATGTAATTTTGTATTCATTTTTCCCTCTTTCGTTCGTTGTCAATCAATATTTATTATATAATCATAAAGTAGACTCGATTTATAGTATACTCATAAAATTAAGAATATTGAACCTCAATCAAAATAGCATTTGCATGTTTGCCAGATCTCAATTAATAGAAAATAAGTATTGCATTTAAATATAATAAATACAATCAAATATTTATTACATTGTTAATTATTTAAAGAAAATAAAATCCGAATTATTGATGATCAATTAAATATATATCGTTGTATTAAATATAGTATAAATATTCGATAATACATTGTACGCAATGCGCAATGTTAGTAGTTCCATTTAGTAACGATAGATGCATTTTACACTTGATAGTGTAAAAACAGATCTTAAATAATTTATATAAGATAATATTCTTTAACTTCCGATATATTATTTATTGCAATTTTGTAAATATATTAATAATATACATTATCGAATACAATATTGAATCCTTTAGGCCTTCGCTGAAATATAATATAATAATTTATTTATAATTTATGAAATCATTAAATTCCTATAATACACACACGAAAGTAATAACAAGGACGGAAAGAATTAATATCACCTTTACATTTTCACAAAATGAAATCTAAATAAATATTCGATTATTGAAGAAAAAAATGTGTTCTTCATTCTATGATTAAATACAGAATTATTTTATTTTTACAATTTGCAGAAAAGTATATAATTTTTTTCTTTTTATGTATTAATTGATATAAAATTAATAAAAAAATTATATTAAAAATTAATTTTTAAAATCAATATATTATGTATATTATTTATAAAATTTCTATGAAAATTTACCAATAGTGGTTTCCGTAGTGTAGTGGTTATCACGTGTGCTTCACACGCACAAGGTCCCCGGTTCGATCCCGGGCGGAAACATTGATATTCTCTTTTTCCCATTCTTCACTTGTGATATTTTTGCTAAAACAATTTTAAACATCGCTAAAGAAAAAATTTATTTATATTTTTTTATTTTTCTTTAAAATTATTATCTTTTTTTTTCTCGAAATTATTTTTATTTTAGAAAATTAATATTTTCTATACATATATCAAAAAAAAATTAAAAATAATAATATTTGTATAAATAATAATATATTTTTATACTACATTCGTGATTTATCAATATAAAATAGGAATAAAAACATTTTTTTTATAATATATATGTCATTAAAAAGAGAAATGTACTAGAGATATCTATATAACGTAGTAATTATCTATATAGTAGCAATCGTGTCAAAAGCATGTTGTGTATTTTAAACGACGTTGCTACCAAGTGTCAGGATGGCCGAGCGGTCTAAGGCGCCAGACTCAAGGTTAATCCCCTTTTCAGTCCAAGACTGAATCAATGTGCATTCTGGTCTCCATCTGGAGGCGTGGGTTCGAATCCCACTCCTGACAAATTTTTTCCAATTTTTTATAAACATTCAATCCCGAAAAAATACCTTGTATCTTAATTTTTGTTAAAAATATTTTTAAATATTTTCGGATGCGGACAATCAACGCCGTGTATCTTGAGTTCAATTCTCATTGAAATACTTATTTTTTTTATTCCACAGAAATAAATGAAAAACATCATGTCACGCGAGACAATAGCGAAATAAAATAATTATTTTATTTTTATAACCATAAAGTATTTCGTTTTGTTCGAGATTCAACAGTTTCTTTAAAATTTTAGGCGGATAAATTGTGCATTAGATACAATAATATTAAATTACTTTTTAATATGGTGATAAACATGTGCTTGTAGTAAAAAAATTAATTTAACGAATTTTTCTCGTTATCCCGACATTTAAGTTGTACTAATTATAAATTTTACTACTCGATTATTCCTGTTATCACCTTATGTCGAGTAATGAAAAAGCACACGTTCGAAAATCCGGTATGGTCTAGTGGTTAGGATACCTGGCTCTCACCCAGGCGGCCCGGGTTCGATTCCCGGTACCGGAATTATTTTTCTTACATTGATTGACAAAAATAAATTACCTTTTTTTACTTTTAATCGGTCACTTTACCGATTTACCTTCAATCGAAGTAGAAATCGTAAGTCTCTAAATTTATCTACAACTCTTCGAGATATTACTTGTACCTCACGTTAGATCTCAAACATTCATTAGCTACCGTATTCGCGATTTATTTGATGTACAAAATACGGTTGTTATTCGACAACACTGTTGCCTTACACTATTCTTATTCATCGCGTAAATGCCTAGTAAGACGTAACTCCGCTTGTCTATCGGTATGCAATCACTGTCATTTTTATCGACATTCGCGGAAATGACTTGTAGACCCAACACGTGTATCCCTATCCACTCTATAATTCCGAAAAACGGTCGCAATTTTCTCGAGAGGTATCGCGTCAGAGCGATTGAAAATAACCTATGGTAACTTGTCAGGGTTAAAGTACGTACGTACCGTGCATAAACTAAATTACGTACTCGCGAGATACTTGCACGACGACTTTAAGAAAACTTTTCTACTTACTCTCGTAGTCGTAGGAGGACAGGTTGCCGATGGCATCCGGTCACGAATGGATGAAATCAATTCGAAGATTAACGAGCATTAAAATTAATTATTTGAAGTGAGAATCGCGACAGTAAATTTGTCGTTCGTCTAATAATTATTGCAAAGATTTGTTAAAAATGATATCTTTTCGGGAAACAGTATATTTTCCGTTTATTACAGGTACAGTGGCCTGGGAGAAATCGATTCAAGTTGCTCGCATATTTTGAAATGCGCGTATTTCGTGTACAAAGTATGGATGTTGGTAACGATGTGCATCCTAGCGATCACCGTATTCGCCGATATTTACGCGAATATGGACAATTTGTCGATCACAACCGACGATGGCTGCATCTTCGCTGGAATCTTCGTTGTGATATTCAAGGCGATGAACCTTCAGATTCATCGAGGAAAAATGAAAAAATTGTTGGACGATATATTCAAGTGTGGCGACGATCTCTGCGAATTTTCCGGTGAGTGAATTATGAAATGATAACGTTTTTTTAATGCTCGCCTCGATTTTTTCATCGTTATTTCATTCAATTTCGATTATCATTTCTGTCCATCGAATCTTGGATGGAATAAAACGATCTCGGAATAAAACGAACGAAACATGAAACAGGTAAAATTAAGAGCACAGAGTCGAGGATGTGAAATGACGCAGCAAATGATGCACGTTGACTTCATTAATTCCACTCCGTCACTTTTCCATACCCCGTTCCACCCCCTCCTCTCTTCACAATCTTCCCTCCTCGAGTCCTTAACCAGGAACTTCTTATTCAGAATTACTCGGCATATTCCTCGTATTTCGCTCAGCTTTCCAACGTACGACGCACACTTTAACTTCTTGGTTATTGGCGAACCAACACATTCGCCGAGTGTAAACGTTATAAAACGTTTGCAGCAATTGTCTCGGTTTCATTTAAGCTAATTGATCGTATGAAATTTTTTTCCCCTTTTTTCGTAGAACTCGAAAGCGTTAAGGAAATTATCGACAAGTATTACACGCGTAACAAAGTGATGTTCTACGGATTTTGCGTGATAGGAGGTTGTCTAGGATTCGCTCTGTTGTGCTTCACGCCGATGGAGGACGGTTTGCCGATCAGGGCAAAGTATCCTTTGAACACGACTATATCACCTTGGCGCGAGATCAGTTTCTTCGTGGAAACTTGCGCCGTTTCTGGTGGTTTGTTAGGAATAATCGTGATGGACAGCATGACGACTTTCAAGTGCAGCTTGATCACGATGCTGTTGGACGCGTTGAATGTCAATTTTGAAAATTGTCACAGTGATGAAACAGTGGAACAAGTACGTGGGACGAAAAGGAGAAAAGAATTTCTCTTCTTAACTTTCGTGATTAAATTTTTCGTAACCTTCGTTTCTTATCCGCAGACGACGATCGACGTTTACACGGATGGTGATAAGAAAAAACGGGACAAGAACAGATTTCTCGATCGTTACGAGAGGTGCCTTCGATTTCATCAACGATTAGTAATTATATCGAAGGATTACAACAATATCTACAATTTAAGCATGTTCGTTCAGATGCTTTCGAGCACCACGATCATATGCCTGACTGGTTTTCAAGCTGTTGTGGTAAGATAGGACTGAAGATGAAGATATAATCGCCGGGTCGAGTGTATCGTGATCGATTTTCATCGGTCGAAACAGGTCGGAGGGCAAAGTTCGAATATTATGAAGTACGGGATTTATCTTAGCGCGGCTATGTCTCAACTCTTCTACATCTGTTGGTTAGGGAACGAGCTCGACTACGCGGTAAGGATTAATCCAATGGATTGAATGAAATTTTGCTCACCTTTGTGAAACGAATTATGCGAAGAGGGAGAAAGAAAAAGGACGAATCATATGAATTATCGTTCGTAGAGTTCGACATTGGACAAAAGTCAGTGGTTCTCGGGCTGGCATAACGAACGTTTGGCCGGTGTTGCTCGGATATTCACGTTGTCCACGGTGTTCACCAGAAAATCGATAATTCTAAGAGCCAGTGCATTTTACGTCCTTTCTTTGGAAACTTTTATCGTGGTTCGTAGACGGGATACCCTTCACCTGGGTATACCAGATAATCTTGTTATTAATAGGCCGCAAACTGCGCTCCATCCAAAGAACACGTATTTACATTGCAGATTATAAAGAGATCCTACTCGTTTTTCACCTTATTGAACAACATGGATTTAACGGGTCATTAACACCGCTGTCTTTATTCAACATGAGAAGAAGACCGTTTACACGCGCGTTTAGAGGCATCGATTATACATATATTCTTCGGTTTGAAAACGGTAAAACGGAAACTTAATCCAATGTTTCAGCGTTCCACCGTGATAACACACATAATAACGTAAAATTAAGAATAGAAACCCTATCGTTGAAGTATTCGTCAATCGTTAAAGTTATCCCGATAACTCTTTCCCTCATCACGCTCCATGATCCTCTTCGGGCCAGCAACCTTGCAAATCATTAGTCGGACGGGATTGTTCGAGAAATTTACCGATTCGTTCTGTGTTTGTTCTGCTCGGTAATAATTGCGTTACGATAATAAACAGTCTTGTTTCTCAATGTTTGAGAGAGAGAGAGAGAGAGTCAAGAAATCGAACAATTAATTCCTCGTTTTTAACCTTTTCGCGATTATTATAATCGGGCTGCATAAGATATCGTACGAAATGACGAGCGATTCGAGTTATCGCGCATTATCGAGTATATTATATTTCTCTGGAAACATCGATATTCGTTTTCCAATAACAAAATCGTCGAATTGTGAGCGAACGCGGCCGTTGACCATCTTTCTCCATGCGAAAGGGTTAACCGCGTGACGAATGTTAACATTGTGGCGGTCGAAAATCGGTTCGCTCGATTCGAATGCAATTAAACGAAATTACGATTACGGGCGAGCGTCGGTCATCTCCATCGATTAATTGATCACCAGGCGTGAATACTTGGCGATAAAGTTGCCGCTCCTTCGAAAAACGTATTCGCGGGCAAAGATGATGGAAATTCGAGGATGGTAATTAAAAAGGCGCGTTTTACCGCCCTCTGCCCATCCGTTCGTCCACGACACGGAACACGACGGGAGGAACACGAGAGGGCTCGTGTCTTACTCACTCTCTCCGCTCCCCTTTTTCAATCTCCCGTTTGATCTGACCGATGAGTATCTGGCCTGATTTATAGCGACCTACCCGCTTCGCACGGCGTTCGTTTCATTTAACCGGGCTTACATAAATATCACTCTCCTTTGGATTCCCAAGCGAATTAACGAAACAAAGTGTTCGTTTCGTTTTCACCTCGAACGTGGTAGGCTCTGCTATGAGATATTTCTCCATAGAAAACTCCCCCTCTTTCGAGAGTAATCAATGCCAAGTTATTACGTTATATACACGTCCTTTCGACGATTGTAAACTCAGATGCACGGGTCAGATGAGAAGGAACGATAAATCGTTTCGAGACGAAATGTTATTCATAGTCCGCGGACTAGTCTATAGTTGTATAGTCGATGGGGAATTCTCGTGCAAAAAGGAATTAAAGTTTCATCCCGTTCGGTGGCATGAACGGGAATTCAATCGTCTCTGATCTCCCCAGACCATTCCTAGTGGAAAAATAATCACGCGTATACGATTCGTTCGAGATCGAATACAATCGAGCGAATAATCTTCTGCCTCGTCGTGGAGGAAAGAGAAGGAGCGAGGATGTCGTTGTTCCGCAGGCCATTCCACTGGCACTTGCTTCCTAGACAGATGGTCGGTTCAGCACATGTTATCTAACTGTAGGTCCCCTTTAACCGTCCATTTCTACCGTTTCTATCGTACGTATCCTCGGCCAGGCTGAGTGCGCGCTCTCGCACCGTTTTTTTCCAGCCTCCGTTTTCTTGCGTTTCTCGTAATCGCTGATCGTCCATTCTTCTTCTTCTTCTTCTCAATTTTGTCCTCTTTCTTTCTTCGGCTTTCGAAAAAAATCGATAGTAAAAAAAAGAAGAAGAAGAATCAAGTATTATCGTTCCGATTATCCCAAGCGCGAGACGTTCTCTAAAGTGTTTATTTTGCAGGAGCGCGCGGCTTTAACCGCGTTACGCAAAAGTAT